GCGAATACCCAAAAAGAAGTTTGTAAAAAATGAATCCGCCTCAACAATATAGAACTTATCTATGAATTAATTTCTTTACTAATTAGAAGTTTACAGCTTGGGCTTAAGTGTGTTGTAGTCAACCAAATTTGAAAGTATTGCTGTTGCAATTGCAACTTTATATGTGCTCTGAAATTGCGTTTTTCTGCAATGTAAATGATTTTCCTCGTTTTTTTAGTTAATCAAAGGCGTCAGCCCTAGCCGGAGATATGGCTCTAGTAAGAGAAGTGCAATCATGCAAGATTCCACTGGAAGTGTTACTGTGGATGGGGAGCACCCTGAAGAAATACCCATGGATCAAATGGGTAAGCCGATTAAGTCCACTCTGCCGCTCATTTGCTAACTGTAAATTTGCCAAGGTAATCCAGAACAAGAATATCAGCCAACTTTAATCGAAAATCTCGTCTATTTCCTGGAGAATCTCCTGCAGATCATTATCAGGGTTTCGTACTTGGGAACCAATATAATAATGATGGTGAGTTTCGGGTAGTTAATAACGCTCCAGCCGTTTAACTCTGATGGTTTATCCTGCAGGCTTGGAGTATCACGTTCATAAGTTGGCTGACATTCGTCCTGCTAATTTGGGCCAACATTATCTGGCTGGTACCAAATCAGCGGAAAAGCATGCTGCGATCCAGCCCCTTTCTGGTGTTCTACGCCTGGTTCCTACTGATTTCTGCCTATGTTTATTCAATGGATCTCACCGAAAGCGAGCTGCCTTCAGTCATACGAGGAATCAATCTGGCTCAGATCGGTTTTGTCAAAGTGACCACATTGCCGTGCAATCTGCTGTTGGCCAAGTGTCTCTACACGTGCATGTTTTGGGTCACATTGCGCCAATACATGCAGGAAAAACTGCTCGACAGACAATCGAGTGCACTGGCTGATATGGTCGCTCCTTTACAACTCACAGTTGGGGCTGCTACTACTGGTAAGTTTACCGTAGACTAACAGTTGATTGAAAGCTGGTACATAAAGCGTTGTTTCATAAATTACTAGACTTCATTACTTTGTTCTTTTCATATAATATTGCACTTTTGCACCGTAGGTACCACTGCGGAGCCCCAAAAGAAAGAAACCAAAGTGATGGAAGTAGTGGGGAATTATCTGAAGAGATTTCTTACCAAGTTTTGGATATGGGTTGTGGCAATTACGCTCTTTGCAGTCGCGATTACTGGACAGAGAATGACTGGCTTTAGGATAGTCTATATGGCACTGTTCCTGATTTTTATACTCTCATTCCAGGTAGGAACGTTAAAACAACGTGAAACTTAGCAGTTGAAGTCACAGCGATTTTTTGTAAGCGATGCTTACCTTATTTTGGTTTTTCGAATAGTTCAGTAACAAATAAATTATAGCAAAGTTGCGTATTTTGATCCGAACCAAAATGGTGTTTTAATAAGGGGAAATTTTCACTACTTTTAAATTGTATATACTTTCCTGACTGTGTTTCAATTCCAAATCAAAATTAATTCCTGGGTTTCAGTCATTTATTGTCTTTATTTATCAATTAAAATACGTTTCGGTGTATTTTTTCACCATCATCAGTTTTTACGTGTAGCGTTGTTGCTGGTTTAAGCTTAAGCTTTTACATTTATTAGAAATGTATGCCAAGGCTTAAAGCAGCAACAACGCTACACGTAAAAACTGATGATGGTGGAAAAATACACCGAAACGTATTTTAATTGATAAATAAAGACAATAAATGACTGAAACTACTTTTAAAATATTCGAAAAAACCGAAGAAGTTGGTAACGGTGGACCGCAAACGAAAGATTAAATTTTATTAAATTTCCAGATCTGACATTATAATAAATTTATTCATGGAAGTAGTCGGAATTTTCCCACGTTTAAGACACCATCCTAATGCAAAAAGCTTCGCATTTGTTACACCTTGTAGAGCGATTTTGCCAATTAACATGTGCAACTCATTGTTTTCCAGCTATCATTTACCATTTGGAGAAAAATGATGTTCGGATTTTGGTTGGTAATAATCATCTTTTCCATGCTGGTACTAATATTGACTTACACATACCAGTTCGACAATTTCCCCGATTACTGGACGGACTACCTTCATGTGGCAAAGGAGCAGTAAGTTTTTCCCAATTAGCTTCACTTATACACCTTCATTGTCCTCTTGGCCTAATTTCCAGGCAGTTAGATATAGGATTGGAACAGTTCGAAACCAAGCAGCTCTTCGTTCGAATGGTGACGCCCACATTCTTCGTAATAATAACCGTAGTGCAGTTGCATTATTTCCACAACGATTTCATGATACTGTCAGATCCGAAGAACACCAGTATTATCAATGAAGATGAGGAAGACGATGAGGATTTAAATGAGAGCTCGATGCAGGGCGGGGCTGCAGTGGAACGAAGCGAAAAGGACCCGTCTTCGTCCGGTTACCGTTTTGAGATGAGCGAGTTCGATAGTAAATTGAAACCGCAAACACTTGACCCTGATTGTACATGTTCGGTTGTTTTCAGACCTCACCTTTAAGGCTGTCCTAGAGAAATGGGTGACTCGCCTGCACAGGTTCCTGAACCTCCTCTACTTGTTTTTGGAAATCCACATGGCGCGAGTGGTGTTGTTTTTCGCCATGCTGCTGTGCATCTACGACAAATGCGCCATGTATTTTATCCTGATATTACTAATTCCAGCGTCGTTCACTCTGGGAAGACCCATGCAAATATTTACAGTCTATTCCAGTTCCATCCTGGTGTCTCTATTTTTATTGGCCAGAATGCTGTATCAGATCAAATATATCAATCCGGATGTTCTCAATGTGAATTGTACCACAGTAAGTTCAGTGAGGAACTTTAAATTGTAATTTCAAAGTTAATTCCTGGGTTTCAGTCATTTATTGTCTTTATTTATCAATTAAAATACGTTTCGGTGTATTTTTCCACCATCATCAGTTTTTATGTGTAGCG